TGGCTGGGCTTTCTCTTGACTGCCATTGCCATGGTTATGCCCAAAAATGTTGCAACAGGAAATCACTCAAGGACGAGAGTTGCGCAACTGCCGCCATGGGAAGCAATGGATCAAGCCACAACAGCAATGGCAGCAGCCAGCACAGCTGCCGGGACTCATTCAATGGGAATAACATCTCACCACAAGTTCGTTCTCTTGCAGATCAAAATCCTACATTGAAGAGGTCTGAGATCTGGCTTGAAGGACGCGTCCACCGAGTCGTCCAGCATGAGTTTCACAATGGCCTATGTGTCCGCGCAGAGTTCTTCGCAAATGGGACAGTTCATTTTGCTCATGAACATTCTGTGGCCGAAGTGAGACGAGGATCTGTGGTTGAGGAATTGCACCGCTGCATGAGGGCGTGCAGCGGCCGGCTTTTCAAGAGGGGCCCCACGTATCCACCAGGTGTGGGGCCAAGTTTTGCGGAGCTTCGCACGAGAGCGCAAGCCTATGAAGGCAAATATAACGTATTCCACAACAACTGTGGCCATTTTGCGGTAGATCAGTGTCGCCGGGCCCGTCGTGCTAGGTTATAAGCATGAGCTTGTGCCAAGTATCTAGACCTAGTAGGTTTGCGCAGAGGGTGACTCACGTACGCCGAAAAAAGATGCACCGATCACCGCAGCAACGGTTTTGGACGTTCCGCGGCCCCGGAAAGTGGTGAACGGGCCGTACGGGGCCGTGCGGGTCGGTCAGTCCCAGGTGTTTTCTTGCTGCTGAAGGTGGCCATCGAGGTCCGCGAGCGTTTGAAAGGGAGGGGTTTCCTTCTATTGTGGATGAAGGAAGGACATCTTCTTTGTTCATCAAAGAAATTCATTGCCGCTGTTTCCTCTTCTTTCATCTTTCTATATAGCTGTTCAACATGCACGATTTGAACACATTGATATGCTCTTCAGATGTGAGTTCTTTTTCTTCAATGGAAGAAGCTTTGCTTGCAAGCCTCTTCCACTGAGCGAAGTTGACCTGCCGTCCAAGTTGCTGATACTCAAGACACATGGCATTTACTGATGTGTAGAGTATGCTGACAAGTGAACAAGACACGTGAGAGCTCGACATCAAAGTAGGCACAGGCATAAGCAAAGAAATAGGGGTATAGCAAGCAAAAAAACGTTGGACACAACATGAACTCCACCATGCTCCAAACTCCAATGACTGCCATTGAAATCACTCGTTTTGGGCCATTAGAGGTGCCGTTCAAGCCTCTCAACCCTGCCCCGTTCAAGCCTCCGCCCAACGGTGCAACGGTGCCGCAACGGTCGTCGTCTCACGGACGGAGCATTGCACCGGCCATGCCATGTCCACCGCCCTTTCGAACTTCGAGGCGCCGTTCGGAGCGCCGTTCGGAGCGACGTTCGAGGTCCACTCAAAGGACGGACTATGGGACTCTCCGGTCGTCGTCGCACGCGCGTTCGTAGGTCGCAAGGGAGAAGAGGAAGTAGTCACAGAGGAGCAGAAAGGGTGCGGTGGTTCTACGCAGTTTGATGGTTTGGACGGTTGGCCATTCAATCCCTAAGACCATCTAAGACCAATCTCTCCTCTTGCGAAGCTGAGGGCGCCCTCAGTCTGCTGGACTGCTGGGATGCTGGACAGCCCTGCTGGATGGCCCTGCGCCAGGCGTTACATGTGGCCTTCTCGGAGCTATTCGAATATCAGAAGCTCTTGAGCCAGGAGTGCCATGCCTTGAGGCGCCGAAAGCAGCCCGGCGCGGGGGCGACGTGGATGGAACCCGGTGTGCGACGATGTCCGCGCGGTGGGTCCCGATCGTGGTTTTGCGGAATACCGGATCTGGAAGGCACTGGAAGGTGGATGATGGATGATGAACTTCTTGTGATGGGTATTTACATGCATTTACAGTTACAGCAAACAATAGCAAACACTATTTAGCAAACTACCATGTTCCTTTGAACCTGTTGAGCATTACTCTTTTTGACCGGATGGACATTGGCACATGGTATATAACCCCATCGATTCCTCTGGTGGCCACACCAATTTGGATAATTTCCTTTCAGGGTCCAACATTGCTCAGGAGAGGAACACTTTGATAGGTCAATCAGATGGATAGTACCAGAGATACCGATCGGATTGTTGATGTGATTGGTGTTAGTTGAGGGGGGTTGACGAAGGAGACATGTTCGTGTTGTACCGACGTGTTTGTGAAAGCAAAAGAGATTCTAGCTAGAATGATTGCGCAAGAATCTTCCAGTTAGTCCTCTGTAATTATTGTAATTGGGCAGTCTTGGGGCTGATGGCCAGGCAAGGTGCTTGCAGGCGTTTTTCCCAAAGGGTTTTGTGAAGAAGCTAGCGCATCCATGTTTGTTTATTGACTTGGCGACGGTTGCAAGAAAAGGGGGTCCAGATTGGTAGAGGCTCGGCAGCATAGGTCCAAAAAGCAGAGTTTTCTTGATGCCAAACAGTCTATCAGTTTCTAGGAAGCTCTCTGCCGCCCTGGAAGGCATGCCACCTACTTGCAAGACCTCTGGCTCATATCGTGCTTGCAAGTTTCTTGTCTCATGTTGTAGCTCTTGCATTCTTTTGCGTTTCATATCTTTGTTCCTCATGGTTGCTTGAGTTTGCTACTAGGTAAGAGGAACATCCCAGTGCCACTACTCTTTGGTTTCAGAGAGTCTAGTAAGGAGGCAATCTTGCCAACTTTGTCCAGCTAAGGCTTGGCAAGAAGTTGCGCAAACAGAAGCTGAGTAACTTGATGTTGAACATCCCCATGCCTGATCATGCTTTGTACATGCAACATGTTTGCCGTTCGGGTGTTAGTTACAAAGAGTCCTCACCGGCGAGTCCCGGTTGGTCCATGAACGGCGACCGAGGCAGAAGGGGTCACCAGTAATGACAGGCAGATACAGGCAGAACAAGGTGGCCACCCCTTCGCATGTTTCAACACTTTTGGGGGATGAGAAGAGACTTTCCACGACGCAAGGGCTCTTTCATCACACATCTCACAAACACCGGACGTCAAGGCGTCAAGGTATGATTGGAGCGTAGCAGGCGTAGCAATGTGGCGCCTCCCGGAGATCGGCGACTACACACCATTCACCCTCCGTGCTTTTCGCACCAGGAAAGCTGAACACTTGCGGAACTTGCTTCCGTACTGGCAAGCTTGGCGCGACTTCGCGCAGGCAGAAAAGACTGCTCGGCACCTGGGTTCCAACAAACACCCACGGCGGCGCAAGTTGTTTCGTTCGAAGGTCACAGTGCATGGCGATGTCGATGCATTTGAGTGCAAAATG